GGTGCCTCTGTTTTCCTTACAGATGCTGCTTTGACAAGACGACGTCATGAAGCCTCTGCCGGCCCAAACTCCTACGGAAACCCACCTGCTCAGGCTCAGTCTCCACCTGTTATTCCTCACTCTGTGCATGCCTCCCACTCTAACATGTCTTGTCACGCACCCTCACCTAACCCCGTGGCACCCCCATCCCCTACTAATTTAGACGGCACTGCTGCACCAATTCCACAGCATCTTCATGCCACAAACCAGCCAATTCCGTATTACATTCCAGGCACTGCACCTCCAGGACAGAGACTGCATCGTCATGAAGTTGCACAGAGGATGGAAGATCGAAGGATGATGGTGCAGCATCCAATGTATGTTTCATGTTTTTAAAAAGATAATCACACATTATTCCTTTTCCTTCTATTCCCATTGGTTTATTACACTATAAAATCAGTAGAAGCAATTTAAGTATATTAAACCACCAGTTCACTAGGTTATTCTTTACTAACCAAAATCTTCCTCTGTCTTACCCTGAGTTGGAGGTGTTGACAAAACAGATTTATTTAACGAAACCGAACCATTTTCAGGTTGCAACAAAGGGTCATTTCTTTTTGCAAACCAGTCTCTTGTTTCTTTTTTCAGTTTCCATAGTAAAGGTTAATGTTAAAATTGATGATCTTGAGAAACAAGATACAGTACTCAAATATTTACTTTGACTTGTTATATATTACCAGCCAGAAGACGTAAGAAAAGTATTAGCATTTTTCAGCTGTTCTTTTTTCAATGTCTTTTTAACTTAGTTTATTTATTAATTTAAATATTATTGTATTACCTTAACATGGGAAGACTAACTGAACTTTTTGCTTTTTCTTTGAAAATTAAGCATCTGGTTTTCTACTTTAGGGCAGCAAATTCTGTTCTTTATATCCTGCCTGTTTGTTTTTGTAAATACAATTTTACAGGAAAACAGCGACCCTTGTTCATTTATGCGTTTAGCCAGTACAGCTGCACCAATCCCGCAGCATCTTCATGTGGTTGATTTTGTCTGTGGCGTCTTCGGCCCCTTTCACATTACGGAGACTAACCTGAGTATCACAAAGACTTAGTAACTACTTAGTAAGACCTAGTGGAGTATGGCCTATAGAGAAGTATTTGGCCCTTACAGAAATGTTTGCAAATCTCTTGAAATAATTAATGATCTACCACTTCTGTGACTTCTTCCTTGAGTTGGATAATTTATGATTATATCCAGAATCTCTGGTTGTGGTGCCATTGTAATATAGTAACCCTTTATATAGAAAGTTGCTAATGTAATATTAATATTTTCTAGTATCTAGAAGATTACTTGTTCTAAATTGTTAAGATTAAACATGCAGTAGTAACCACAGTGGTGCTCATGTGAAACCTGAGCATAAGACTGTCTATTAGTGATACCTTAATAATAAAAAATATATATTAAACATGTAAAATCTCAAAATGTGTTAGAAGTTAATAGGAAATAAGAACTGGAGTATAAAAAAGGATCACTGGAACTTTTTTTTTGAAGTACTCTGTTCAGAACTGTGCTAATATTTGTAAATTTGACTGACTCTAGAAAGTGAAAATATATTAAGCTGGAATACAGAATAAAGAGTGTGAATGGAGCTCATATCAGTTTCCATATGTGGAACCTCTTCTTGCATGTGTTTGAAATAAATGCACAAGGTTAATTTTTTTTTCCCTTAAAAGATTTATCTTTTAAAATGGCTGAATGTTACAATAAAAAAGTAAAGCAAAATAAGATACTTCCATTTTCCTGCCTTACATGTTTATAGATGTATCTTATTGCTCCTATAGCATTTGCTGAGGTGTTTAATTTTAAAAATTTTATTTCCATTCAAATTCCTATTATTTTACCTAAAATATCTGCTGTAAAGAAGGTATATAACATAACATTCAAATTGTCTTTTTCCTTGGATAAATCTGAATTGGAGGTTTTGTAAGAAATAAGCAGTGAGAATTTGTGGGGTTATGATTTCTTGATTTATTAATCATTAAATCTATGTTACATTTCTATAATTTGTTATTAAGTAATGAATTTCATGACTAATCTATAGACATTTGAATATTAATACTAGGCTATTCTTTCTACATTAAGAAATAACCAATTATTCAATTATTTCCGGTGGTCTTTCTGTGTTCTGTTTCCAGGCTGGGACCTGAGCGCCCCCCACCTCACACACACAGGATGCACCCCTACAGTGGACACAGGCATCCTGTGCCTGGGACTGTGTCGTCACATCCTTGGTAGGCTCAAGAGATCTGCCCCATCAGTATCTTGTCTGTTTCAGTGATAGGCTCAGTAGCTTGTGGTCAAACGGCCAGAATTAATGCTTTATAGTGGAATGCCATCCAGGGTGGTGCTGTGGAGAAACTGAATTCAGTTTAGCTATGAGGCACCGCCTCTGGGCAAGTTAGAGACCTGGGGAAGCAACAGGAGGAACTTGAGTTCTGGGGCAGGGGGCCATATCACACAGGAGTAAGCTGTTCTGTTGTCTTTCAGGGGTGTCTACCGTTAAAGCCAGCTCCCTAAATACATCCTGCTTCTCACAACTTCTTTATACACCCTCCCCATTCTTAGTACTCACATCTACTTGCTGCCTCTAACCCTGGCTACTGACAAGACAACACCAGCTTGTGCCTTCCTACTCTTACGGTGTTTACTACAGAAATGGAAGTAGATGTGCATTAACTTCCTATGAAATTCATTTTCCTTAGGAAGTCATTGAGATGTTGGTCTACAGTAGCTTTTGAGGCAGAACATAAAGTGAGAATAAATAAATGGAGATTTGGCATTTACCAGTTTTACTTTTTATAAAACTTTGTTTACCCTTGTATTGTAAGGTACAGATGTGTTTGTTGTTGTAATTATCTTTGAAGCCAGCAACCCAGAGACACTACTCAACAAACAAAAGTCTTGGGAGCATCTGTAACATTCACATAAACAAACAAACAGAAACACCTAATTTGTGTGCTCCTCAAGTAGAGTCGGACTTTTAGATTGGAAGGAACCTATGCATTTTGTTTCCTTTGTAGGATGTGAATGAAACTCAGGACAGTGCTTTGTTCCTTGTAATTACAAAATGGAATTTTTGAGTTTTACTTTCTGAATTGAATTTGAGATTTTTTTTTTAGTTATTTCTTAGGGGCTAAATTTGCCTCAGCTGTGTAAGTTAAGAAGCTTTAGGGAACTTTAAAAAATGTAAACATACTCCCCCATTTCTACTGATTATCATAACACACCGCAGAGACGGTTACAAGCTAAAGTGCTACCATCCTTTGTCAGGGGCCTGGGACCTGAAGCTGGAGGGGCTGCAGCTGCTGAGGCACCTGGAGCATCGCGTCCCCACCTGGACTGTCACCACATACCACTTCGACTTGACTTCGTATTTGTACAACTTCTTCCTTTACTGGTAAAACAAAAACATTTCAAAATGGTGAAATATTCTTCTTCTTAAGAGTATTCTTTTTCTAAATTATTTTATTGGAAATATTCTCAATGTATTAGTTATAGGTGTTTTAATAGAATTTGAGAATTAGTATTTGGAAATTGTGCTATAAAAAGGTATTAGATATATTAAAATCTGTATTTGTATTTGCACTGTAAAAGGTACTGTATTTCTCTCTCCTTATATAAGTTTTTTCTTTTGTACAAAGACACCAGTCTTGATCCACTGTCAGTGGGACATGAGCTTGATTTTCTCTCAAGGGGTAATTGGTCTGTTCCTATGCATTTCTACTTTACTCATCTGCCAAAGGACTGTACTTATTCTCTGTATCTGATTTGAACAGATGAACATTTTCTAGATACCAATCTAAGGTGTAAATTCATTGAGTTGGCAATTCATAATACATACTAGTTATAAAAGTAGGACAGAGAAGGGAGTGGCTTCATCTTGGGGAGGTAGACATACTGTAGGAAAGGCTTCCAAGATGCTTGATTATGCATGTGACTTCTCAGCAGGTTTTGGAATTGAGAATGATGCTCTTGCAGTGATTACAGCATGTTAAGAGATCTCAAATAACATACACATAGGCAACTGCAAATACATTGGTATTTCTGGATCTTAGGAATGGGAATCGCTCAGCAATAAGAAATCAAGCTGCCCTGCCAAGAAACTGGGACTCAGGAATCATTGAATGCGAAATGACTTGGTCTTACTTATGCTTTTGGAGTGATTTACTCAGACTGTAGTTAGAAAGACCACCTCCTCACTTGTTTTGAAAAATAGAATGACGGAATCTAGTTAAGACATAGTAGAAGAGGTAAAAGTTGATAAACACCTGAACAAGGAGAGTGGCAGTTGATGTAATAATGATGAGACACATTTGAATGACATTTAGGATGACTCCTAGATGCTAGCTTGGTGCCTTTCACTGAGTTGCGGAGTATTAGATTATGGTTTAGGCAAGACGTTAGGTGAGTTAGGTTTTAGACATACTGAATCTGTGATAAGTGGATATCAAGGTAAAATGTCCAGTAGGGATTTAAGTTTATAGTCTGCACGTCGAAACCATACAGTGATACCTGAGTTAAAGATATGTTGTGATTTGTCAATATATATGAACCGCACACTGTCATGAAATACAAATCTATGGAAGAGGATGAGATTGCCAGAAAAAATGTATAGACTGACAAACTGAAAAAACCTTGGAGAGTGATAATACTATATCTAAAAGGTAATCCTGTTCTTCAAAGAAAGGATTCTGAACACTGGCTAGAGAAGGTAAGAAGAAACAAAATGAGAATAATGTCAAAATAATGTGGTCATTAGTGTCTCACTACAAAAATACAAAGTTGGGAAAATGTTGAATGCATTATAGAGTGGTTATTGGTGGTATATATATATATATATTCCTATATTTATATAGGAAGGTAAAAATGTGGGAACAGTGAGTATAAACTGCTTGCCTTATAAGCCTGGCTGTGAAGGGAAAGCAGGAAACAGGGCTGCAGTTATACCAGGATTAAAGCGATGACACTTTGGGATAAACCTGAAGCTATGTTTAGACTTAAGACAGAACATGAGAAGAGGACACAGAAGCAAGAAGTGGGCACTAAGAGTCACTGAAGAATGTAAGGGTGACTTTGTCGCACCACTTCAGTGAGTTGAGAAAAGAAATACAGATAACCATTTGCCTTAACATATTGCAAATACTGTATTTATATTGTAGGTTTATAAATATGGAGCTTTATTGCTTTTACAGTATTGACAGTGCTATTCAAGGAATAGTCATCCTGGCTTTTAATACTAGTTATTCTTCACCTTCAGATACTGGAACCTTTACAAGAAACAGAAGAGGTCAACAATGGAGCATCTCAGGAGACGATCGAGAGATGCACATACCCACATAAATACAAAAAAGTAAGAATTTATTCTGTGTGATGTCTACATTATGGAAATGTATCAGATTTAGTATTATGGACCTCTGAATTCAGCTACATTATTACTAAAGCAACACATGCATACGATTTTCAAAAATTTGAAAGTTTAAAAGTATATATTCTGAGGTTTCTTACCCTGATGACCCAAGTTTTTCTTCCCAGAAGAAAACTCATAGTTAAGGGTTTCTTATGTAATCTAGGCATTTTTAGGCATTAATAATGTACACATGTACATATTTTCCCTTCCACTTTTAAAAATAACACAAAGAGGATGACAAGTGCACCGTTTTTGTGCATTATGTTTTCATTCTGGATCAGCACCCACATGCCACCCATATTCTCTTTAATAACTTAGACTGTAATTTAACTGGCCACTTATTTTGACATTTAGTTAACCTACATTTCTTACATCATACCCTCAATTTATAGTATTATTTAGAGAAGTTGTGCAGTAGACATGTTATATAGATTTCTTTCAACAAACAACTATGCTATGCAGACTAATAATAAGAAAGGGAAAAATCACTGTATTTTTCTTCTGTTTTCTAAGAGTATTAAAGAGCTATTACCACTAAATTTAAGTCCTTTCAGTTGTCGAAGCTAAAGACTATGTCATCGGATTAATTTATTTGGAGATTATTTGAAAATTCCTTAGTAAAGGCTATGTGTTATGATGGGACAAAAATAGAGTTTGTAATCATCCTAACGGTGTATTAAAAATAGTAGTTTTCCAAGTAGTTAATTAGTTACTTTTTATTTTCCTTTTGATGCTGCTTATTTAAGCCCTAAAATAACTTAGTTGAAATTAGTCACTTAACTCATCCACTAATTCATCACAGTCATACCTGGGAGATAAGTTGTGGCTGAATGTGTAGTTTTGTTTTGCATTGTCTGTCAAATAAACACAGACTTTAGTCAGTTGTTCAATAATGTCATCCCACTAACACGGTGACACCCGATCGCCTCTCACAGAGGGACCTGCCCCGCCAACAAGCCGGCGAAGCACCGACTCAGGAAGCCACCGACGAGCAGTGCACCATCTGCTTGTGCACTTTAGAGGAAGGGGAAGATGTGAGGTAACTAGACATGAATTATCTAAAATCCGTTGTCAAAACTGTGCATGAGATTTTATGTGAAAGGAGACTAGAAGCCACCGAAAGATCACTCCTGGCATATCCTGTTACCAATCTTCGACGGGTAGAGAACTGCCTTCCCATAGTGAGTGAAAGAAAAAGATTTAAGGCTCTGTATTGCTACCAGTGGGTTGGGATGGGAAATATACTTGGGCAGGGAAATTTTGTGGTCAAATTGTCTTTTCTAAATCTTGCAGAAAGGAGAACTTGACAGGCTTTGGAGGCAGAGACTGTCAAATCAATGCGTTCTCCAAGGCTTAAAAAGGGGGAACTCGATTAACTCCACGCAGTGTTAGACAGCATCTTTTCAGAAATTGATTTTGTCCTAAAATGCCCTCTTACTTCTTGGGACTATTCAGTTCTTACAACTTTGCAATTTAGAAAATGTTATGCTAACCCAATATTAATTTTAGGTATTTTCTTTTTATAATCTCTTCATTATTTTGCACCTGCTCTGTTTTGATCCAAACTACATAATCCCATGTGAAAAAGGTTCTATAACATATGTAACAGAACCGTATGCTAACTCTGCTGCCCTAATTGATAAGGGTAACTTTATCGTATGTCTTCACTTGGCTGAGAGAGAAAAACATTATAAACATTTGTCCGCCAGACCACATATAGGTTATTTGAACACTGTATTGCCAGTGAAATTTATAAATATGGAAGGTAACTTTTCGTACGGTAGTGGAAATACTGTTCAAAGAGTAATGGGAGCATCTCTTTTTAGCAAGAACCAGGAAGTCTAAAAATGTGTGACAGCTCTTAGCAGTGGATTAGAAATGGATGCTTCTATCACACTCTTCACTTAGATTTACCCTGTATTGCCTCGATGCTTTGTTTGTCAATTGCTAAGTGATGATTTAGCGTAGTATACCAAAGTAAATATCTCCTTTGAAGCTACTTTCTTTCCCATTAATTACTTTTCATGGAGATATAACTCGCACATATGAGTTTCAAGTGTACATGATTCGATATTACAAATATATTACAAAATGGATTAAGCTGTTTTTAAAAAAGAGTGCCATAGTATTCAGTGGCTGTAAAAATGACCCATAAAACCCTTATTAACCTTCAATCAATCTGTACTTTATAAAGATCCTCTAGATAGAAAATATTATTACATATAAGATTTCTTAATTAGTGTGACTAGAACTCATGCTAGAATGAGTTCTGATATTTTTGAGAGAGAGAGATACATTTTTCAAAGTGTTTCACAAATTTGTTTGATAGGGAAATAGATATTTTTGCAATTTTAGGTAACAGGGACATACTGCCAACTCGGCAGATTGGCAGCTCACGTACAGAAACAAAACTGGAATAACGGCCAGTGTAGGTTTTAAAATCCTTGAGGTTTTACAGGATTTGGTTCATTAGCTGAAACAGTTAGTCATCTTGTGTCTTCATGCCTTATTTTCCCCAGTGTTGATTTAATGTAGGTGTGACTGTCATTAGAGAGGCCTCGAGGTTGTTTAATGTTTTTACAGATAAAAGATAGATGTCTGGTAACTTTGAAACACTCCTGAATTATTACAGGTATACCACGTGCAGTTGCCGTAAGATTAATTTTGTGCTTTCCGTTGTTTTTGCCTCTCATAGACGTCTTCCCTGCATGCACATTTTCCATCAAGTGTGCATTGACCAGTGGCTGGCTACAACTACGAGATGCCCCTTATGCAGAGGGGACATCGAAGCCCAGCTGCCACGTGAAAATTAACACCACGGTCGGAACTGTGGCCCTCCCTCTCCTTCCCACCCTCCTGGTACACAATCCTATCAAGAACAAAAGAACAACAAAAGAAAACATCCAAGTAATACCAGAGCTCACTAGAGAGGAGTTAGGCACTCTTTGAAGACTCCACGATGACTATTAGGAGTTTAAGGCTTCAAGAACAAGCACTTTAATCTGTAGAGCTGAATAACACATTTGACTACTGAGACACCACATTAAAAATTTCAGGATTTATTTCTTAGAGCTACATTTACACATGTGAGACCTGATTATAGTCAAACAAATGCTACATGACAGTGTGCATGTACCTGCCTGTGTCTGAATGCGTGTGTGGGAGAATACATGTGTGAAACTCTGCTTGTTCCCTCAGAGGTCCAGTGATGAAACTGTGATCCCTCTTATCCCTCCACAACCCTCAAAGGACTGTGCAATCAACCCAAGCATATACATCAGGTTCATTTGGGGTGGGCAGGTGGGTTGTTCTCTGCTAATACAGAATCAAGACCTCTGAAAGGGAAGGTGGAGGTCTCTGCACTGTTACAGAGTCCACAGATAGGGAGGAGAACCCCTGCTCTGGAGGCCTGGGGTCTCCACTTGTCTCATTGGCAGCTGTTGCCTCCTGGGCATCTCAACACATCCGGGTCAACTCATAAAGGTCAATCCCTCCAACACGGCCTCCTTGACCCTGGCTCCCCTAAGCTGGGCACTCTCTCTCCTGTTCTAGAATTCGACACTGAGCAGTCCCTTTGCAAATCCATGGCCGTGATTCATGGTGATGATCGTTTTGTTAAAGCATAAGCTGCGGTTCTTTGTAGTTCCTCACTAGGGCCAAGCGATTCTCCATACACATGCTGCACAAACCCACATACACACAGTAACAGGCAAGGCTGCACAACCCCATTTCCCTGTGCCAAGACCCAACACCACTATGTGCACCCCCATCAGCAGCTCGCTCTACTTCTACTCCTTCTGCCCCACCCAAAGCATACTGGAAGGCATACATGGGCAAAGCGATCTCATAGGAATCACCTCACCTCCTCTTTTCTCGTAGGTCAGCCACAAAGCTTAGGACCTTAACCAGAAATTACTAGCTAATTACTTCAACAGTCCTTACAATTGGTTGGGACACACTGAGTCACAAAACTGATATTAAGAACTGTTGACTTAACTAGTTACTGAATGCATAAAGACGGTGTTGGAAAAGGAGAAAGCAAAGACTAACAAATGACCGTCCTTGGGAAAGCACAAATAAACTGTTTCATAATCTTTAAAGTCTACATTACTGTATTTTATGACAAAAATTACATATTAATAGGACTATTAGAAATTTAGGGATTCACAAAGCTTTAAGACAAAGCTCTAACTAAAAATAGATTATTATACATTATCCACTACATCAACAAAAAGGACAAAAACCACGTGATCACCTCCACAGATCAGTTGATGTTTCCCAGACGGGGAAGAGTGGCACATGTTCAGTGACGCTAATCATTTGTAGCCATGTGTAAGATTCACTGCAGCACACTACAAGGCCCAGGCCTATGTGCTGTCTTTCCTCCCTCAGATCTGACGAGGTGATTTTGCAAACTGAGCAACTAACTTAGCACGCAGACCCAGCTGTAGACGACATGGTAACAGGCAGGAAGAACTCCATCTTAAAGATAAGGTTGCATTTTAATACCCAGAAAGTTCAAGAGGCAGGATTCTTTAACAAATAGACAATACCTCAGCCCACCTTGGGGGCTGGGTGGGCAGCCTTTTGATGTTATCCCAGACCAAGGTGCCAGTGTCCCAGAGAGAAATCAAGGCAGGAAATTCATTACGTTAAGTTAATCTTTAATATTCAGGGACCACTTAACAAGTCCACACCCCAAAGTTTTCTTCATGTTCTCGAAAAATCCTCAACTGCCTATAAAACCCCCAGACAACGCACCACCACAGACTCTCTTGTCCCTTCCTGGCCTGAGCCAGGAGCTCTGTCCTTTCACTTTATCTCTAAATAAAAGCCTGTACCTTGCTCTCCTACCTTGACTGTTTCTGAAGCTCATTCTTCGGCTTCGTGAACAAGAACCCCGGCATCACTAAGAGGGGCCCTCTATCCTGTCCTTACGACTAGACAAAAAGAGCAAACCTTAAGTAAAGTGATGTGAGCAAGACTGTCTCCCAGAAGCCATTCGGAACAGCACCTCCCTTTCCAGTCCTTTCAAGAATGTCTTCCTAGTTCACAGCTGTGGGGCAAGACACAAAATAACCAAAATTAGTATGACAAAAGCAGAGGATTGAACCCAAATAGCTGCTACTGCATCAAGGGGAAAAACCAACCAACCACCATCACAAAATCTCTGTCCACACTTTTAAATCCATTTCATGAGTCCAACACAGAGGCGGATCAGCCATGTGAATATGGGTTTTCTATTATCTGAAACATTATAATACAGCTCCACTATCTGGCTTTATCTTAAAGGGGAAGTCCCCAGCAACAATCTATTTCAATAAAGCCACATGGTTTGCAGCAACTGCTTCTCTTTGTCCGCCAACCGGTCAGGAGAGAGCCCCTTTCAGAGGTGGAAGAGAGCAGGGAGCTGAAGTCAGTGCCTCCCTCCCTCCCCACACTGTCAGTCAGGCCGACCAGCCACACCCCATATCAGAGGAGCTGCAGAAATAGCTGTTCCCTCATCAAGTTTCCACTCTTCCAGAATGTTCCAGCCCCACCTAATGTCCTGCCTGAATGTCTGGCTTACTGTTTCACAGAACAAGCCCAACATAGAAAGGAAACAAAATCCAAAGACCTGGCATACACACAGATAGCTAAGTCCTCCCCAGGTGCTCCTCCAAAGGACATAGAACTGACAGGATTGGTCTAGGTCCTCAGCTTTGAGTTGATATTCTGGGTGTCATTCAACTATTATTTATTGCGTGCCCAGTCAGAACAAGGCACTGTCAATGCACACCCAGTTAAGTCTGTACCAGGGTTCTGAGATGATTACGTTTCACCAGTGCACAGACAGCAATATGGAGTTAAGGTCTCTGTACAGGAACAGGGAACAATTGCTCCTTATTGATTTACATGAGCAGAAAAAGAATATGTCAATTTGCAAAAGATTTGTAGCCTCTGCTATGCCTGGAACGTTGCCAGAAAACTCAGGAAAGAATACATCCGCACACACACAGAGAGCAGCAAGACGTACTACACAAATGTAAGGTCACCAAGAGGCTGCCTGTCTACAAACATTTCCCACCCTTTTAACCAACCTTTTCCCAACATCTCCCTCTTTCCTCTTCCACGGAAGACTGCGAACTTTTGTTTTCCACGACTTTAAATCACTGCTGTAAGAAGCAATTTACGGAAGGAAGAGCAAAGAAACGTACTGTTCTTCACTCCCAATTGTCCTCCACACATCAGTCAATAGAAGAAAAACAGGAACACACACAGGAAGCTGCTCCCTGAGGTCATCCCCGAATCCCCGCTGAGCCAGCACAGCTCCAGGGCTGTTAGTGGAAGGGCTGCACGGCCACTATCGAGAAGCCACAGGGAAAACCAGAATAAAGCTAATTTGTCATGACACCATTTTCTTACTTCCATTATGACTCACTGTGGAGATACCGCACTGATTTTTTGGTAACTCTACTCAAACTTGCTTTTGAAAGACTTTTTTGCCAAAAAGATTAAATGCTCAGAGGGTAGGAGAGAAGAGAAAGTGTGTGATGGCGTAGTGGCAGATAAGGTAGGAACGGGTGCTCCAGGAAATGAGAAGTGTTTCAAAGCAGATCAGAGCCTAGAATCTTTGCAAAGGTGTGGAATTTATGTATCTCCTTTTCAAGAAAATAGGACCTTTCCTGTCCACACTGTACAGGTTTTTCCTCCAGGCATCTGTGGTGACAGCTGTTCTAGAAATACATGATAAACCTGTTGTCTTCCTTCTTGGTTATCATCACTTATAATACTGTGAAAGACCCATGAGAAGATGGCTGAGGATACAGATGCCCCAGGGGAAGCTGAGACCAGAGGGCTGGGAGTCTAGAGGAAGGGGTCCCATGAGCTAGCTCAAGGAGGGAGGGGGGTAAGGGAAGAGGCACTGAGTGCAGCTCGGATCACCCCAAGTACACCTGTGACAGGGAAGAACCGTCCGCAATATTTAAAAGGTCTGGACAAGTAGTGACTCTCTACCATCTTACTATACTGATGGATAGTGATTGCAATGGGGTGTGTGAGGGGGACTTGATTATATGGGTGACTGTTGAAATCACAATGTTGCTCATGCGAAACTTTCATAATATTGTATATCAATATACCTAAAAAAAAAATTTTAAATAACCACTTAAAAAACAAAAAAAAAAAGTTCTGGAGAAACAAGGAACATTATTTTGTGAACTTTCAAGTAGTGTTGTTAACTAGAATCACTATTCTATACACTAGATCTCCAAAACTTATTCATCTTGTAACTGAAAGTTTGTACCCTTTGACCAACATGTCCCCATTCCTTCCACCTCCCAGCCCCTAGAAATGACCATTCTGTGTCTATGAGTTTGTTTTTTTTGGAGTCCACATGGTATTTGCATTTCTCTGAGTTATTTCCCTCTGCATAATGCCCTCCAGCCCCATCCATGTTGTGACAAATGGCAGGATTTGCTTCCTTCTCGTGGCTGAAGAATATTCCATTACACACACACACACACACACACACACACACACACACACACACACACACCTTTATCAATTCAAGGGACATTATTTTTAAGGCATTTTGAAATCTGGATTATTTAACATAAAGAACCTGTTTGAGTAGAAATTCACCAAGTGTAAGAACATGAATGAACCACTTCCAGGGCTCCAGAGGTGTGTGTCCTGCCCACACAGCTCCCTGACAGAGGAGGAGCACAAGGGGCCTGCAGCATCCATCACTAACTCCGGAAACACCAGGGCTGGAAAAGATCAGTGTCCCTCAGGGCTGGAAGGGGCCTCGGAGCCCGCCCCGCCCCTCACACCCACCCCAGGCCCCGGGTGTGGGCATCCCCAGGGCCCATCCTGGCTCCTCTCCCAGTCCTCACAGTCCTCCCTGGGGGTGCTCCGTGGGTCCCCACAGGAACACTGGGCAGAACTTAAAATGATATATTTGTTAA